CAGCGGTCCACGCCGAGTGTCACACCAAATGTCACACCAAACCCCGTTGTAGCGCAGCAGACGGCGAAGTTGAGTTGATTCTGCCAGAACTGCATCGGGTTGTTGAACCAAGCATGAACTACCTTAACGTTAGTCACCGAAAATTTATACAGGCCGAACACATCTAAAAGCTGGGCATTGAAATACATCCCATCGGCGACCGCGATCTTCATGGGTGAGAAATCTACATCCAGTTTAGGGTAAAACACTCCAGGGGAGTACATTTTAAAACTATTATATAATGAGCATATATCCTCTAACATGTTCATAACACTTCCAGGAATAACGAGCAGTGAGGGCGTTCAGCTGACGCACGCGATCGATAATACGTCGGGTCAACTCGAAGTCTCACTCTGCGATATCACCTACCTACCGCAATGGACTAACATCAATGCCAGCAACAATAAGCTGTTCGTTAGTGGAGCTCGCAGCCAGATAACTGACGGCTACTACAGTGTGTGCTCGCTAAGCGATGAGGTCTTCAAACCCCTGGGAGCCGAACTCAAGATGAACGACTCAAACGGCACAGTGGTGTTAATCAACAACGGAAGAAACTCCTTGAGGTTCGGTCGACCATTGGCGAGGACACTCGGTATGTCGCCTGACGAGATAAAACCAACAACTACCGTCACAGGCATGAAGTTACCCGACCTAGTACCGTACCGAGAGCTGTACATTCATCTCGGCCAGGTGAGCACAATGTACAACATTCAAGGGGGTCACCCTTCCACTATACTGAGAGCAGTGCCGGTTTAAACTGAGAAATACAACGACGGTAGAACCGAGTCGTTTTCACCGCCGCAGTATAAGAGGTTGACTCAGGGTAACATACCTGAGCTGATAATATCGGTGTTAGATATAAATCATAATCCCGTGAATATAGGATACCTCAGCATAACGCTTCACATAAAATGACCAGCGCACAAGGGCCCGGGTTGAAAAAATGCATCAATGTGGGGATCTCCGACCTCGGGGACACACGCGGTTTCGACGCTCCCGGAGTAGATGGTAAATTGTACCCCTTGCAACTGAAAAACAACATTTACAAACGCGTTGAAGTCCCCTCCGGTGGAGCCCTAGGTGATATGGTCGATACCTCAAGAGCGACCATCAACACTCGGTACACCCTAGTCAACACTGGTGATGATAAATGGATAATATACCCATCGTTCGGGGGCAAACTGTTCGACTTAGACGATGTTGAGAACACTACCGTCACCCGAAACAAACCATGTATGCTCGTCTTCACCGAAGATGATAAGTGGGTGTTGTACCCTATAAAGACGACTGGTTTCTCAATATTAGGCTCGGCTCACCCTACGTGTTCACAGATAACAAAGACAACTACCTAAACAAAGTCGTGAACAACGGAACAATGCTAGTGGCTTACGTCCCGACTCAGAGACGTAGTGTAATCATCAGTCCAGTCACCAGTATGGCAGCCCACATGCTATCGAGTAAACCGGGAATGCAAAACGTGACATTGCAGTTGGTGTCTGAATTCGAACTCAACACTGGTCATCCAAGTCTACCTAGGGGAACCATCGCGGAATGATGTCGAAATCGTGAAGGGGATCAAACTCGGGTGAAACGACACCAGTATCACGTTTGCACAGTTTACGTGCGGGTGGGTGTCGACTAAAATACCAGTCTGCAGGGTGTCACCGTGATCGTGGAAAACACGATGTCACTTACCAAGATCTTCCTACCTGACAACATACACTTCATGGGGGTGAAATTAGTCCCTGAACTATTATCAGACAACCAGTTGGAAACTATATCGTAATAGTATTATAACAATGACCAGTCATCGTCCCAACACTACGCTTAATGATCTAGGGGACACGGAGGGATTCGATCAGCCTGGTGAGGAAGGTGGCTCTTACGTCCTACACTTGAAAAACAACGTGTATAGGCGGGCGGCAATGGCCGATCATCTACCCAAACCCACACTCGGGGGTCTAGGAGACACGGAGGGATTCGATCAACTGGCGAGGAAAACATCTCGTACGTCCTACGCTTGAAAGACAACGTGTATAGGAGGGTGGAAATAGCTGATTGGCGCCTGCACGACCACCTTTTAGAACCCAAATGGTTGCTCGGCATAACCCTCACGACACCTTACGTCTCTTTTCGTAATGGTGGACCTATCACTAGGGATATCGCTGAAATTAAGAACAGCGGTATCTTGCTTGGGGGGTTTCAATCCGACGGTTTAAAAATATTAGAATTTCCCAAATCCCAAATCACCCTGGTTACATGTTAGATGCCACCGGGAATGCACAGTTATCATTTAAGATATACTCTGGCCTACCATTTCCTAGGTTTATGCCTCCAGGCTCCACATTAATCATAATACTCTTTTTAAAAAACGTCCATGGGCCCTCATGGGACCTTTTATCTGGGGTGCAAATAAGCCTATCTGTTATTGGCTATGAAGACCACCATTGTAGTATCGTTATACGACGGGACTCGGGGCCGGGTGAGGGGTTGCTGCCCCCCTTGATAAGCTCCAGTATATTTAGGGTAAGTTCCCAAAATTTACCTATTGACCTTTCCACTATTCACCTATATGGGAACGTAGGCCTTATAAACCTCAAGTACGTTGATCGGCTATTAACTGATACCCAATTAAAAAAATATTTTATCAGATATATTATAGGCACACGGAATGGGTCTATACCCAGTCGTAGAGGAAGTAGTGAAGACCCTGGAAACTGTAGACGGGTTCCGTACGGGGGTATTCGTGGCTACCCCCGTAGTGCTAGGTATTGAAATAACAGCTGGGGTGGCAGGGGTGTTAGGGTTGGTGCTTAAGTTTACATCACGTAGACTTCATCGTAAGGCATTGAAACACAACGAGATCAGGGTTCTGGCCGAAGCAAAGCTTAACACAGTAAGTGAGCGTATTTCCACGGCACTCACAGACAACAAGATCTCGGAGGAGGAGTTTCGTTCAATCCTCTCTGAACTCGAAAAATATAACAAAATGAAACAAGAGATTCGATCCAAGTCTCGTAAGTCTGCTATCAGCGAAGACGAGAAAAAAAAGTACATAGAACAAGGGGTGAAAAAAGCCCAGCAAGCCTTTATTACGAACACCAAAGAGATTATCGGCGATTCACATGTAAAGATCGAGGTCAACTGTTTTGTGATTTATATTCTATATTGTACACAACAGGAAACTGCTTGACTGTAACGGTTTCTCTTTTTCTCATTACGGGTACAATCAAGTTTCCAAACACGGGCCTAAAGCTTGATTATAGTATGTAACCAATATTCAGGAACAGTGCTCACTTGTACCCAAGTTCTACACTGAGATGCAATGGCTAGTGTAGAACACACACAGTACTCACGTCCGACTGATGGATTCCAGTCAGTGTCATCCGATTGTGTCACAGGTAAGTCCCCACCTGATAATCACTCATGATGCTGATGGTGATGTTTGGATTTTTGTATATCGGATGATGTGTCTGTCCTAAGCCCGAGGTTGATGCATACAGCGTGAAGCATGTATTCTGAGGCGACTGCTACCACTGCGTAGAGGTCGCCTAATATTGTAAAGCAACAATCCTATTTTCGCTTTCATTTTCAAAGAAGCACAAGGCTTTTGTAGGCCAATGCATTATCCAATGTTGTGTCGAGTATTGGCTGTCACCAAGATAACCATTATAAAGGGGTTGCCTGGGGTCAGAGTGATGAACAAGAGTTAGGCATTTAGAAAGTACTGGGCCATGAGTCAGGGCAACGAACACCGCATTTGTCTGCAGTAGACAGACACATGACACAGGTCGGCAGTCATCAGACAGATGACACAGATAGGCAGTCAGCAGACAAATGACACCTGTCGGCAGTCAAAAGGCAGTCAACAGACACATGACGCAGATCGGCAGTCAGCAGACACATGACACAGGTCGGTAGTCAGCAGACACATGACATGACTGCAGTCAGCAGACACATTACACATGTCGGCAGTCAAAAGTCAGTCAACAGACACATGACACAGATCGGCAGTCAGCAGACACATGACACAATGTCATATCGGCAGACATCAGGCACATGGCACATGTCAGCAATCAAGAGACACATGACACAGGGTCAGGGATATGGAGACCGCATTTGTCGGTAGTCATCAGACACATGACACATGTAAGTAGTCATCAGACACATGACGCCTGCCGGCAGTCATCAGACACATGACACAGGCAGGTAGTCATGCGTAACAGCCCTATAGAAACCTACACTATATTGAATACACAGTAAACATGCATACAGAACTATTGGCATGTTATTTCTGGTCATGTATGCGTTGACAAGATGTCAAACTGATGACTACCACAACTCCTGTTTGTATGTGAAGAGGAGTGAATATCTTGCTCTCGTAGATGTTATACAGTTAAAAATGGGTACTTTGTCGGATGTTCGCCCACAACCAAACCAAACCGGTTTCCACTGGTGCTGCAGGTACATTCGCGCCGATAATATGTTAGGAGCATACCTTCTGCTTGACATTCAGGGAAGATATTTTCTCATGTTTTCTCTTGCCTTCTCGAAGATTGTTAATTGCATCAACCAAACTGGTAACTGACCTGATGTCTTAACGTTGAGAGAAAGTCACCATTAAAATATTTTGATACCATTTAAACATAACATCGGGTTAAACTGTCCAAGTCGGGTGAGGACTGAATGATTCAGAATATAAAGTTCTCTTTATTCAACAAAGTTGGTCGCACGCTCTGGCGAGCACGGGTTTTTTAAATCCAGGTGCATTCATGTAATTCAGTGTTACGTACAATTCAGGGTGACATGACCACTTCGTCATTGCGCGCCTCATTTGAATTATGTTTTGTTTTCGCTTCATGAAGGGTTTCATGCAACATAGCACGAGCGAGGGTTCATTCACCTTTCTGACCTGTGACGTCATGCATTCATTAAGAATTTTTCAGTGCAAACACACAAAGTGACATTCAATTCTTATAATTTCTCACTTTGATGTTTACACATACGTTTCTTACCCACTTCTACGTGATCATTGTTTACAGTGATGTGTTTTAATACCTGTAAAATGTTGTAATGTCATTCTGTTCAAGACCGTATTGTAGCGATGTGTGTATACTTGGCGACTTTTTTACACATGTATCCCAACCCTTGAAGAAATAGTTCTCAAAGTATTCCTTAAAATATTACAACAAATTCGTCAATAGGTTTGAAACTGCTTTAATAAGCATAACATCAATACAATTATCAAACAGAAACAAATATCAATAACAATATCATTTTAACAAACTGTCATTGTACCTATAAAACTATGACGGATTCGTTTGACCGCGTAATAATACACTGACCGATTTCGAAGTTGTGCGGCGTGGCGAATAGGAAGCAGATCTCGTTGGTGTATTCTATTTACTTGTGATTGTTTATTGTGAAATATAATTAGCAGCTTTTAAACAGATCACGGGGCAGAACCCGCAAACCGCGAGAGATTAAACTCTTGTGATAAGGAACAATGCTGGGCAATTGGAAATCCGTTTGGTCGTGAAGAAGCGACGTTGACAAAATTGGGGTGACTTGAAACAGGATCGCTCGCTAAATTGTCATCACAAAATGCAGCAAGATCATTGGGGTTCCTTGAAACCGTAGCGGAAATTCGAAAATTAGGTCGCACTGGCTGGGACTTGTTGTCGGACGCGTTGTCGGTCAGATTTTGTTCAAAACTGTGCTCAGTTGGTGCTTTTTGTTACATACAAAAACAAGTAAGTGATATGTATAAATAAAAAGGAATGTGAATACAAATCAAACCTTTCAACCAGGCGAGAAGCAAGCCAATTTTTCGTGTAAGCCCGATAGGTTGCAAAGCTTAATATTTAGATAGTATTGGGGGCTTGTCCAACCTTTTTAGCCAAAATCACGTGTAAGCCCGGGCTTTTTTTATAATGGTAGCAACACCCCTGACAACTTTAATGGACGACAACCTAATAATGACTGAAATGCAATGGCTAGTGTAGAAGGCACAGTACTCACGTCCGACTGATGGATTCCAATGAGTGTCACCCGATTGCGTCACAGTCCTCCCACATGATAATCTCACATGATATAGATGGATTGATGGATTTTCGTATATCAGATGATGTGTCTGTCCCCAGCCCGAGGGCGATGCATACAGCGTGATGCAGGTATACTAGGGCGACTGCTACAACTGCGTAGATGCCGCCTACGAGGATCGTATTTTCGCTTTCTTTTTCCTGGTCACATGACGTGTATGTAGGCATTGCGTTACCCGGCATTGTGTCGTGTATTGAAAGCAGCCACCGCAGAGGGATGGTAACCGAATACCTGTCTAAATGAAAACTCCTAACAAGCGTTAATGGGGGGTCTTTATGTCACCGTCACAGGGACATGACACGGGTTGGCAGCTAACAATCACATGACACAGAGTGGTGGTCAATAGATACGTGACATATGACTCCAGGGCGGTGACCAACAGACACATGACATATGACACAGGGCGGGGGGCAATAGACACATGACATATGACACAGGGCGGGGGTCAATAGACACATGACATATGATACAGGCCGGTGACCAACAGACATATGACACAGAGCGGTGGTCAACAGGCACATGACACATGACACAGGGCGGTGGCCAACAGGCACATGACACATGACACAGGGCGGTGGTCAACAGGCACATGACCTATGACACAGGGCGATGGTCAACAAGTACATGACACAGGGCGATGGTCAACATGCACATGACATATGACACAGGGCGGTGGCCAACAGGCACATGACATATGACACAGGGTGATGGTCAGCAGGCACATGACACAGTACGGTGGCCAGCAGACACATTACACATAACACAGGGCCGTGACCAACAGGCACATGAAACATAACACAGGGCGATGACCAACAGGCACATGAAACATGACACAGGGCAGGTGTCAACAGGCACATGACATATCACACAGGGCGGTGGTCAAAAGGCACATGATATATCACACAGAACGACGGTCAACAGGCAGATGACATATGACATAGGGCGATAGTCAACAGGCACATGACACAGGGCGGTGGCCAACAGGCACGTGACATATGACACAGGGCGGTGGCCAACAGGCACGTGACATATGACACAGGGCGATGGTCAACAGGCACATGACACAGGACGGTGGCCAACGGGCACATGACACTGGGCGGTGGCCAACAGACATATAAATGCCCTATAGAGATTAAGCTGATGCCACAAACAACTGTTTGCATGTTGCTATTTCATATTATGGGAAAAAAATCGAAAAGTAATAATTGGTGAGGATTTGTGTTAAAGCGAAATTCGGAATTTTCCACTTGTATAGGAGGATAACGTAGATTAGCACACGTCACAACTCGTCCCTTTCCGTGACCTACAAGAAAACACGTCACCTGAACTAAACTTTACTTCAACTTCGGCTGCAGGCAGAGGCATATATGAGGTTACATATGCTTTATAATTAAATACATCCATAATGTTCTAAACATTATATGTGCAGTCGAGTATTTCATATATACAGATGAATAAGTAATACAATATGAGTCCAGATATTTCTTCTTGCCAAGATTTGAAACCTGCAGAAATCATATATATATACATTTCTCACAATCTTCCTGAAGAGTAAAGAACGAAACATGTTGGAGAAAAAGGCATTCTGATTTTATTTATCTATGCAATATTTATGACTGAACACCTGTACTACTTTGGACATTTTGTACGTATATATATATATACACACCAAAAAAAAGTCTGAAGATCCGAAGCACAGATATAATTTCTTCAATTCTCACACTGTCAATGTGATCATCTTGAGAATGACGTTATAGACTACACTTTTGTGTGTGTGTGTGTGTGTGTGTGTGTGTGTTGTGCAAAACTCCTAAGAATTCGTGCATTATTCACGGGTCACATTAATCAAGACTCACTCACTCATTCACTAAGCTCCAGTCCACTCCACTCTACTCCACTCTACTCCATTCAATCAATAAACCAATTTAAAGGATGATATTGCAGGGGTCGCCACAGTTACCTTCTGTGGCTGGTTGCGCCTTGATCTTCCCTACAACCTCATCCAGTAGATTGCATGTCTGTATCAACCTGGATACTCCAGATGGAACCGGAAGTAGACAACATGCGTTTTCAGTACCCCAGCATGTTATTCCAGGGGATAGAGGCGGTTCCAACTAAGGGCGACATGCGTTGCGTGACTGCGCGTCATCAGAATGTATTATGGTGTTGGGCGGCATCACCACATTGTGAAAAGAAGATCCAGTGGACACTCTAAGTACAAAAGGCTGACGGCCCCTGTTTACCAGTTTGGAAGGCTTGCAGGCGACGTCTTAAGCTTACAGGACGACAATCCCCGTGCTTACTGCCCAAGAATCGCAGGACAATATAGAATACCCGGAATAGTTTCCCATCTGAACATGTATGGCACGCGATAGGGAAACGAGAGCTTCAACTTCACAGTGTTACGCACTTCTGATCCAAAACGTTAACACTGAACTTTCCCAACATGCCACTATCGTCTCCAAGATAGTGACAAGTTCAAGGTTCTTTTCATTTTACTCAACAAACGCCACCAATGGTGGTACATGAGCTATAATATAAAATCATGATAACAAATGTTACAAGATGGACAAAGCCAAAAATGTAAATGGAAATCACAACAAAAACAAAAACAAGCCGCATAGTGTGATATAATAAATATATACGGATAACAGAAACGCATCATAATTAAAGAAATTGTTTAACTGATGTACAGTATACATACAATTAAATACAAGAACATTTACTGTCATACGTCACTACTGGTTGTAATGTGGCCCCTATTTGTTAAGTATCAAATTACAGCAATTATTTATGTCTCCTACTTACAATTTTTGAAAAGGTTATTTCCGGGTGTCCCCTGTTCTTTTTACAAGGCATAGATGAAACCCCGTTCTCGAGTAACTGTTGACTAAATGTATACTGACGTACAATAGAAAGTGTACGGCTCGTAAACAATTGTCCCCGACTGTTATCGCCATAGCGAGTCACTAGGTACACAAGGCATGTCCTGTTTACAATTCCCGTGTAACTGACAGAGGGTATTTCTTTCTGTGTTGCATGCATTGTGTTTCAAGTGGTATTGATGTGTACTTGAAGGTATACGTATGGTGTATTGTTCTACCTGTTTCCCATAATCTCTTGAAATATGTCACCTGTTCGTAAAACCTTTTAGATGCTTTTTGTATCTTGTGATCTGGCTCTTTTCAACCCAATTTGTACAACCCCAAAGACCTTTCTGTGGCCAGTTGTGACCTCGGTTACCCAGCGTGTCACGTTCAGTGAGTTATTTGAGTATTAAACCGCTTTAAGCAATATCCCATCTACACCACGAGGGGATTACACCAGAAATGGACTTCACACATTGTACCCATGTGGGGAATCGAACCCGGACCTTCGTGTGACGAGCGAACGCTTTAACCACCGGGCTGACCCACCGCCCCGTGGTACCCTCTGTTACCCAATGTGTGACGTAGAATGGAGATATAATGCACCGGATGATCGAGGATGTGTCACTGCCTCCTTAAACACCATCCTTCATACACCTGACCAGCCACTCCCCTGCCACACGGATGTGTGAAGATACGCACAGTTCAGTTGATATCTGAGTAGTCCCCGACAAGAGATCATCTGACTTGATGTAGCTACCTGTATTGGCTGGCTGGTATCCATTTTCTCCACTTGACCCACTTGATGTTTATTTATCATGTCCTGTTACGTTGTATTTAAACACACTCTACAGCCTTGGTCAGCGTCTGTCGCACACGATCAGGGAACGAATCGAAGCAGGACTGCCTCACTCATCGTATACCGCCAGGGCACGAAGCAAGACTGCCTCACTCACTCGTCGTATACCGTCAGGACAAGAGGTAATACTGCCTTACTCACTCATCGTATACCGCCAGGGCATGAGGTACTATAGCGATACTCACTCATCGTATATTATCAGGACACGATGCAAAACTGCCTCACGCATTCATCGTTTACCGCCAGGGCATGAGGTAATATTGCCACACTCACTCATCGCATATTGTCTGAGCAGTGTCTTGGCTGACACATATACACGTGTCACGCCTTAGATCTATTATTTGCATCTTATTTTTCTCATATTTCCAACTGTGGGTGCTGTCTACTAAGATTTAATAAATTTCCTCAGTTCATCTTTGGCTGACTTTGTGGTACTGAAAAATATTACTGGTAAGTGGCCTGCTTACAACGACCAGCTCACGTTAAACAACGCTGTTCACGAAAAGTACTCGATGGGTGATCCCTTGACTCTTGAGGTCGTGACTCACACCGGAGCACGTGCAGCACGTCGGCATCTGTCGTATACCATCAGGGCACGAAGCAAGACTGCCTCACTCACCCATCGTATACCATCAGGGCATGAAGGAATACTACCTCAATCACCCATCGTATACCACCAGGGCACGAATCAAGACTGCCTCACTCATCCACCGTATACCATTAGGGCATGAGGTAATACTACCTCAAACACTCATCGCATACCGCCAGGGCGTGAAGCAAGACTGCCTCACTCACTCATCGTATACCATCAGGGCACGAATCAAGACTGCCTCACCCACCCATCGTATATCATCAGGGCATGAGGTAATACTACCTCAATCACTCATCGTATACCGCCAGGGCACGAATCAAGACTGCCTCACCCACCCATCGTATATCATCAGGGATGAGGTAATACTACCTCAAACACTCATCGTATACCGCCAGGGTGTGAAGCAAGACTGCCTCACTCACTCATCGTATACCATCAGGGCACGAATCAAGACTGCCTCACCCACCCATCGTATATCATCAGGGATGAGGTAATACTACCTCAAACACTCATCGTATACCGCCAGGGTGTGAAGCAAGACTGCCTCAATCACTCATCGCATAAGGTCTGACCCTGACCATGTACCCTGTTTGTGTATCAAGGGTTGATATGTCGTCTATAGAGCTTCACGCTCATGTACCCAGACTGTGTATTAAGGGTTGATATAACGCCTGTAGAGTTTCACACTCATGTACCCCGACTGTGTATTAAGGGTTGAGATAACACCTGTAGCCTCACAGTCATGTACCCTGACTGTGTATTAAAGGTTGACTACGCCTTTAGAGCTTCACATTTATGTACCCTGACTGTGTATTAAGGGTTGATATACGCCCATAGAGCTTCACTTTCATGTACCCTGACTGTGTGTTAAGGGTTGATATATCCTCTGTAGAGCTTCACACTCATGTACCCTGACTGTGTATTAAGGGTTGAGATAACACCTGTAGAGCTTCACACTCATGTACCCTGACTGTGTATTAAGGGTTGATATAACGCCTGTAGAGCTTCACACTCATGTACCCTGACTGTGTATTAAGGGGGGCGGTGGGGTAGCCTAGTGGTTAAAGCGTTGGCTCGTCACGCCGAAGAACCGGGTTCGATTCCCCACATGGGCACAATGTGTTAAGCCCATTTCTGGTGTCCCCCGCCGTGATATTGCTGAAATATTGCTAAAAGCGGCGTAAAACTAAACTCAGTCAGTGTATTAAGGGTTGATATAACGCCTGTAGAGCTTTACACTCATGTAACCCGACTGCGTATTAAGGGTTAATATAACGCCTTTAGAGCTTCACACTCATGTACCCTGACAGTGTATTAAGGGTTGATATAACGCCTGTAGAGCTTCACACTCATGTAACCCGACTGCGTATTAAGGGTTAATATAACGCCTTTAGAGCTTCACACTCATGTACCCTGACAGTGTATTAAGGGTTGATATAACACCTGTAGAGCTTCACACTCATGTACCCTGACTGTGTGTTAAGGGTTGATATATCCTCTGTAGAGCTTCACACTCATGTTCCCTGACTGTGTATTCAGGGTTGATATAACACCTGTAGAAGTCCACACTCACTTAAATTGGACGCATTGCCTATTACCTGAGAAATAATTAGCTATTCATTCTCCTGTGGACCCTTATAGCCTTAATAATGTTAGTCGTCACATATCAAGACATTGTGGAAATCATAGTCTTTCAGCCCCACCGCTTTTCAGTTGCAAGAAAAAACAAGACAAGATTTTACAATAGCAACAGTTTTGAGTTTTAGTCAAATGCGTGATATTTGCAACTGAAGGATAAAATACACGGTTTCGAATTTTTCAAAATGGATCAGTTTTCAAATCCAACTTAGCCCTGATCACGTTTATATATAAAATTACCCTGATACTCTGTCGTGTATCTCTGATCGCGTGCATATACATGCACCTACATACCTGGCTACAAGCTTTATCTGATCCCTGACACACCCACAAACATGTCTACATTAAGTCACATTGCTAATAAAACACATATGAAATGTACACCAGGAACTACAATTTCAAGTTGGTTTACATAAGGAGTGACAGAGGCAACTACAGGGCGGCGCATGTATATCTGAATTCTTTTTTTAAAAATCGAACACGGATATAGCACGACCACGCGTTATCCGTGAGTGTTTATCTTTGGGCTCAGCTTATAAAACTATGCAAAGTATAACTTTACCCCATTTACAGGCTCTGAGACGAAATATTAGCCCGTCAACTCACAGCATCACCAGAGCTGACTGCGATGTCGACAACGGTGACGTCGACGACATCGTGAGGGAAGACAGCCTGTCATTGCCTTGTGCCACTGCGGGTCTAGCCTGCAGGAATTGTGACCAGACTTCCGGAATATGCAATAACTACAGACTAAGATTCTTCTGTCAACGTACGTGCCTCTGTGTTGCGTGAATACTTCCGTTTCTCTGTATGATATATTTCGGAGTTTTTCTGGTTTCACCCATAGTGTGTTCCCCAGAACCCAGATAATAAATATATAAGAATTGTATTCAAGTCTGGGCGGTGCGGTAGCCTAGTGGTTAAAGCGTTGGCTCGTCACGCCGAAGGCCCGGGTTCCATTCCCCACATGGGCACATTGTGTTAAGCCCATTTCTTGTGTCCCCCGCCGTGATATTGCTGGAATATTGCTAAAAGTGGTGTAAAACTAAACTCAGTAAGTCAGTCAGTCAGTATTCAAGTCTAGATTGCCTAAAGGATGTCCTGGGCTCCTTTGGGATTTGGGATTTTTTTTATATTTGTTAAATAAGATTTTAATTTAGTGTTTCTAAATTTTATGAAATACGATAACTTTATTTAGGGGACTAAAGTAAGTCTAGTTCCTCACAATAAACTCTGTTGTCCCCAGCAACATAAGCTGATTGTAGGAGGCGACCTACGGTTACAGCGGGTTCAGGCTCGGGACGTGGTTGTTGGCATGTCTGTATTGACATAATACAAAATCGCAGGATTGTCTGGTCATTTCTCGACTTTTACGCTAAACATTTGGAATATATATCTCTCAGCAATTGCATCAATTCATGCAAACTACCCGTGAAGATCCGGGGTAGAATGGGTCATCGGTTCCCAATTACGCAGATCGATGCTCATGCTGTTGATCACTGGATTGTCTGGTACAGACTCGATTATTTACAGACAGTCGCCATATAGCTGGAATATTGCTGAGTGCGGTGTAAACCTAAACTCACTCACTCATTCATGCAAACTCTTCATCTCCTCCGTTTTTCAGCACTAAACAGGGTCCACACGGAAGGAGGCACGACACAAGACGAGGACGAGGAAAGGAATGGAACAAGAAGTGTCCCCCGATTTGACATGTTATCTCGACATTATTCTTTATGCAGAAAGTGCAAATCTTCTCAATGTGGAATTTTTAGAGACAGACATTTGACAAATCTTGACTCAGAAACCTTTAACGAATCTCTTTCTACTTCATCTGAAGATGAGCCGGACGTCATAATAACATCGGAAACCACGTCTTCATCCGCGGGGTCTCCGTCATTTTCGAGATCAAACTCGCTCAGTGAAAGCATTTCTTCCGAAAGCAGTGCCTCCACAACGAACACAGACGCCGAGGCTCCCACCTCAAACAGTCCAGCCTGCTCAGTGTGACTGCCCTTGCCATAAACAAGCAACTGGACTCAGTGTTTATGACAATCCCGCATATGAACAGAAAGTAGAGATACACAATGGCCGATCATCACGGATACCGGGGATGCATTTGCCTGTATTCTCTGTATTTAGGTCCACATCTGCTTCCTCCGTGGAAGAAGCCCCACCTCCAACTTACAAGGAAGCTTTGACAATATTGAAACTGAACGAAAAATTCTCTCGTTGAAACACTGTTGTTTGTTCGTCAGAAACACATGCGGGCATGTCCAGCTATCTCGTATAGATATTCAGGGCTGGTCCTTGAAATATGAAAAGCCCATCTGATCACGTGACTACTCGTCAAAGTTACATCCTTCCGTGAAATCCTACAGCAAGGGGAGATAACTGTTTATGTAGATAGATGACAGTAATATTATAATGTTGAACTGTATTCGTGTATCTGTTATATCATTGATATTATGTTTGTGTTATAATGTTGAACTGTATTCGTGTATCTGTTATATCATTGCTATTATGTTTGTGTTATAATGTTGAACTGTATTCGTGTATCTGTTATATCATTGCTATTATGTTTGTGTTATAATGTTGAACTGTATTCGTGTATCTGTTATATCATTGCTATTATGTTTGTGTTATAATGTTGAACTGTATTCTTGTAACTGTTATATCATTGATATTATGTTTGTGTTATAATGTTGAACTGTATTCTTGTATCTGTTATATCATTGCTATTATGTTTGTGTTATAATGTTGAACTGTATTCGTGTATCTGTTATATCATTGCTATTATGTTTGTGTTATAATGTTGAACTGTATTCGTGTATCTGTTATATCATTGATATTATGTTTGTGTTATGAGAGTTGCTCAAGTTAGTGTACACTGTGAACTTCAACCAGACAATCCTTCACTGGCCTCCCTTTATACAGTATCACCTCTCATTATCAGTTCATGTGTGGGGCATGGGTAGAAAGTTTCCCAAGTATACATGTATATCGCTCTTTACTGTTCTCAGCTGTGAAGGAAACTCCTAGTTCGGGGGTCGATGCTGGCATTGGGTTTGCCTGTCCCAGATGAACATTACCTTTGAAGGTGTTGTGCTTCCACTACGATGATGTAGAGCTAGCGGTGTATATCCCAGAGAAAGGTGTGCGGATTAATACTCAAACCGGAATCACACGTGTATATGTTTGACTCAAGGGAATGTCCACTTTGTAGAGCCGTGATGTTCAACTGACACTGCTACACGAACTTAACTTTGTACTTTGAACTTTGAACTTTGTACCTAGACTGAATTACATGCGAGGCCAGTGAGACACGTAAGGAACATCCTGTGTGACCCGTGACAAAGCAACGTGTATCTTGTTCTTCTTCTGCTGGGAAGTATGTTGTAACGAGATATGATGACGTGATGCTGTGACGTCAAATTGAGTTTCTCCCTTCGCGCCGGAGTCACTACACCAGGGGAGATAACCTGTATCATCCCATGTCAGCATGCTTGTTTTTCTGAGAAACTGACTTATTGTTGGATCTGTTACTCAAAATGGAGGCAGTCAAAACCACGAAACTGTGTATTCCCCGCGGAACCCGTGATTACCATACTAATAACAATAGTAATAACGCGATGTGTTAGTTTGCTATTGACGTCATGGACAGCACATATTATGACATCCTTGTTTAATAAAATACACCAAATACTGAATGGATATTGTGTCGTATATATGTTGTACTAGCAATGTACATGATCCATTCTGGGTCCGACATAACTGCTTGACATCGTCAGGATCAATCTCAACACTCGGGACGTGAATCAAGCAGATATCAAGCAGAAACATAGCCTGAGTTAACCAGGATTCGAACCCAGAACCACAGGTTAACGTGACAATGTATAACACTCAAGGTGGAGTTCCGATGATATCAACAAGTCGTTCAACAAATAAAGCTTCCAGTATATCAGAACAATATGATTGGGTAACTCTTGTAGGTCATCTGGGTCTTGTCTTATCCGTCGTAGACTGTTTTGCACTAGGGTAAAGATAGGGTACAATGTGCAACTACATTATCTCCCTTAGTTCGCCAGGATCAGCCGCGGCTCGCAGGTTTCACTGCAATCACATAAGAAAACTGTTTGTGCAGAATTTTCTCCAGCAGTAACTCGAAAATTGATGAAAGTGATAAAAGACAATAAACTCAATTTCAATTCACTCATATTTACCTATGAATATAGATTATATGACACCTATATATGTGGCTGTCCATTTTGTCGAATACTTTCATACTTTCAAGGGCAGGTCAGAAACAGCAAAATGGTATGGAATCCCAGAAGGGACATTTTCCAGTTGTCATTGCAAAACCATTTAAAACCTGACATAGAATCGCAACAGTATGTTCCTTTCATGATTCCATCACTTTGTGAAATGGGTGATTAGCACTTTTAGCAATTTTGCAGACGTCAAAAATGGGCTTCACACACCGTACCCATGTGGGGAATCGAACCCGGGACTTCGGCGTGACGAGCCAGCGCTTTAACCGCTAGACTACCTCACGGCCCCACTTTGTGGAGGAGAAGGGAGCGTGAGTGTGTCCGTGCACCTGTTGGGAACACTGATAGAATATCGCTGTATGCTGTGTTACCAACAACAGACACGGAAATTGATAATGTTATTCGTAAATCATTAATAACATATATTGGTAATTTCCAGTGGTTCAGATAAGGTCGCCGTGAAGATCTAATTTGATGAAGCTACACTATAAATCTTCACATCTGGAACAAGTCATTTATGTTCTATTGCGCCAATCATAAACATTTCTGTAATAGAGACTCAATTGTGGCAGTAACCAATAGTTTCTGTAGTGGAGGCCTGCTTGTTTCAGTGACCAATATTTTCTGTGGTAGAGGCCCACTTGTGTTAGATATCTATACAAAGTACATGTATTTTGTATCGGCTTCTTCCGGGTGAGAGCATACTAGTCCTACTGTTGATCATAGGCATTCAGCATTGTCCAAAATGGAACATTTGTATATTTTGGCAGAATTCGTCCAGTGTTTAACCTCATTTTTGAAGCGCGCCAATATATGAATACACTAGGTAAATGAAAACTAGTGCTCAAAACAAACTATACATTGCAAAATATTACAAAAACATTTACAAGAATGAAATCGAATTGATAAAACCAGACTGAGACATCTAACACACCCACAGACCCATCCTTTCTGGGAATTCGAAGAAACGGCGAAATAAGTTAACGAATCGCCTAACGCCTTATCCAAAACGACGTTTTCTATGGTGGCTATGGCGATACAGCGACATTGCGATATTGCGATATGCAGAAAAGCGGGTAAGTTGATCCATTCTTAGGATTCAATTATAAGATAGAGGGAAGTATGTGAGATAAAGATGCTCTTGATGCCTGGCATAGATATATAAAGGGATATGCAGTGAATCATATCAACATAAACGACATTGTTATGCAACCTCTCTGGTTAAATCACCAGTTTCGCAACACATCTTTGATAATCAATAACTGGTTCAAACAAGGAATTGTTAAAATTAAAGATATTTTCAATGACTAAGAGTTACTCCTATTTGCAGGACTTAAAACAAAATTTGATACTAAGGGCACAGTACTTGACATAAATCGTGTCATCGTCAGTATTCTCCCAACATGGAAAGAAGTCATTCTAACTGCTGGACACCCAAACATAACAAAGGTATCGATAAGTTCCCCTTGGAATGATCTTATTAAACCAAATAAAGGATCTAGATCAGTTTACGATAGTCTCATATCGAAATCCAATTTTCTAAACGTATGCGATAAATGTGAAAGTGATCAATTAGACGGTCATATCGATTGGAAGACCATATTTGTGCAATATAGACTAACCATTAAAGACACAAGGCCTTTGGATTTTCAATACAAGTTTATTCATAGAGTTACTCATACAAAACGAGAGTTGTTTAAAATGAAACTAGTTGATAATGACAATGTACATCATGTGACGTAAGTGAGAATATTTATCATGTATATATTGAAAGTCCAACCATTAGATTATTCAGGAAAGAATTCACCAATTTTGTTAATTGTGTCCTGCACAGAACATTCGTACTCTCAGCTAAGATACACTATTTTGTGCCAATAGCGACCCCTTGCTCAACCATATGATCATACTAGCAAAGCGCCACATTTATGTCATGAATATCAAGGGTGTGAAATCAAGTTTCACCACATATAAAGGGTTATTAAAAGATGTATATAATATTGAGAAATATTTTTTAGAAACAATTTCAATATGAATTTATTTGAGAGAAAATGGATTATACTCCAAAATGTTCTGTGATTATGGCAAGGAAATAGTTCTACTCAAGTGTATCTGTGTTTGTTCCAGTTTTACATATTTATTTCCCAGTGAAATTGAAACAAAGTGACATGCTATTTCTTATATTATATCATTACGAAACTATGTCCGCGGATTGTTTCATACAAAGTGTATCCAAGTGAAGTGAATAAAAAAAATGTGAAAAAAAGTATGTGAGATAATCGCATTCGTAAAACCGTCCATTCTATAGAAATAGCTCATCCAAAAGCACAATCAGAGATGACATATTCAAAACTGTGATACTTGTCCAGAATTCTGAAGGCTATAAGAGTTCATCAGAATAGATTTGGGCTCTTACGGTACCTGATCGATCTGCCTAATCTTATTGGAAATCGATCTCTGAAGTGTCTATTTTTAAGAATGGTGGTTGCTTATCAAGAAAGGCAAATGTCATTATTTTCCGAAAAGTTGTGGAATACTTTTCTTCATCTATCTATAAATAAGTAAACAATACATTGCACACCAAAATAATTTCAGTAGGTACAGTCGAAGCTGTGTAATCAGGCACTCACTGGGACCAGGGGAAAATGTCGGATTATACAGCCTGTCGGATAATATAGTGCCTCCTTGCTCGAATACTTTTCAAACAGTACCATACATTGTAACTGGCTTCATGAAATTAATGTTGGATTGCTATTTTCTTGGTAAATAAAGGAGAAAAAACTAAATCTGTATACATACACATGTATATCATTGGTATTTATTCTCTTCAGTACAATGTAAATACATGTACATGTACATACCATGCGGACTACCCAATCGCGATCATATTCACATTTTCATGAAAAAGTCCTCCATTGTAGTCATTGATAGGTTGATTGGCAATTTGAGTCTAATATGGGGAGATGATGTCGGATTGTACAACGTGATAGTGTCATTGTGACCAGAAAATGGTGTCGGATTTCGGAATGTACAGATATCAAAATAATTCAATATTAAAATGATGATAATATAGAAGAACGCTGCAGGGACCCAAAATATGTCGGAATACACAGATTGTCGGATAATTCAGACCACTGTATAGTAAATCAATCTCAGAATTTTTGAAATTATCGTTGGCAATTTGGCGGGATGTAGGTTTTAAAGGGGAGTATAGATACGTTTTATGTTCCTGTTAAGTCACCCGTGAAGGTCCGGGATATAATTGATCTTCAGTAATCCAAACTTGTCTTAAGAGGCGACTAACGGGATCGGGTGGTCAGACTCGCTGGCTTGGGTGACACATGTCATCGGTTCCCAATTGCGCAGATCGATGCTCATGCTGTTGATCACTGGAGTGTCTGGTACAGACTCGATTATTTACAGACCGCCGCCATATAGCTGGAATAGTGCTGAGTGCGGCGTAAAACAAAACTCACTCACTAAGTTAAGTAACAGTAGTATATCTAAATCTTTACAGTGCAGTTTGACCATTATTATCATGGCCATCAGCAAAGCCATGTGTTGTGGATGAGGTGCTGGATACTGCACGCTGACCCAACATGTACTGTACATACGATACAAGGATGCCTGTAAGTGAGAATATATGTAGAATTCTGGTTTTCAACGGGACTGGACCCTCATACAACGGCAAGGCAGTTGACTGATGATCCCCTCTGAGATGCTATCTGTGCGTTGCTGCACTATCATGTAATTGTATATTTGACGCCGAATAAAGTTTTGTGGACCCGCTGAGGAACTTCTGTGTTTAAGGAGACAGATAGCCCAACTAAACAGCCCGAGATACAATATTACACATGATTGGATTAAAGCATTTGATTTCAACAGTAGGTCCAATTCATTTATTTTCATCAGATTTGTAGAGGCAAGAGCATTAGGATTTTACTGGAAAGATACATGTACTGTCATCTTTTATATCAGTTCAGACTGCACATACTGCAATTTTGAAATATACTCCCCCCCAAAAGAAACGCATATAGGAATTTCAACTGTATTTTTATGTATATTTTTAAACATCTTGTCGGCTTTATGAGTCAATGAAATATAGCGAAATTGCACACTTGGAATGCAGACCTATCCGTATTTGGCACCAACTCGAAGAAAGTCAGTTCGAGTGTCACATGGAGACGCGTGGTGGCGCCGAAATCAATACCTCGTGTGACCACCGTGGGCATCCAGAACTGCACGGCATCGCCTCGGCATCGAACGAACAGTCTGGGGCTGAGGGTTACGGCGTCGCACCCGTCTGTCCAGGGCATCCAGGTTGATGTTGTGGTATGGGAGGAAGTCTCTAGTGTGACGTGCTGTGTGGGGCCTGGTATTGTCCTGTTGAAACAACTCCCTCTGGCGATCAATGATTGGAAGGAGGTGTGGGCGTAGAATTTCGTCACAGTACCGATGAGCTGTCAGGTTGCCCTGGATCATCACCAAATCACTTCTCCTACGGCAGGTGATCACCCCCCACATCATAACACCGCCGAATCTGTCCACCTGGGGAACGCAAGCGTCGGCGAAACGTTCACGTCGACGTCTGTACACCCGCATTCTTCCATCGCGTCGTTCCAATAGAAATCGTGATTCATCACTGAACCAGATTCGGCGCCTATTCGGTAGGTTCCAGGCCTGAACGTTGGTGCACCATTGAACTCGATGTCGACGATTTTGTTGTCGAAGCACAGTGCTAAATTAAGGTCTTCTGGCACGTAAACCAGCCTCTCTGACTGTCTGTGGAGAAAGCCTCCTCAATCCGGGTATTTGTCGAGCGGTACTGGTCGCCGTAGCTGTTCGATGACGCAGGTGATGTACCCGGATGTACCGATCCTGCACCACAGTGGTAGGTTCCCCCACTACGAGGGGCATCTGCTACCGCATTCTGCCAGCGATATCTCTCCCAGAGCCGTGAAATGGTGATTTGGTGAACATTCATGCGTCGGGCAACTGCACGTTGAGACTGTCTTCTGTGACTGCTAAATACAGGTATTTTATGGATGGTGCGTTTTGTTATGATGTTTCAAAACATACACACCATAGGACTCATAAACAGAGCAAAACCTTTTGTAAAATGAATCACGTTTTAATTCATTGCTGCATGAAATTGCTATTTTCATGATGCGTTTCTTTTTTGGGAGAGTATATATACCTCGAAGTATTAGGCGCGTTCGCAGCACATGAACCTGCGATCCACTGCGTTTTGGAGCACGTGCTTTACATGTGCATTCTAGTATGATCGCCTGTTGGAACTAAAATTTGTAAAATTGCCCTTAGTTTCAGGTGGTGCGTAATTAACGCTCATGTGTATATTTAGTTACAACACGTATACGCACTACAGATGTTAATAAGCCGTTTGCCATGGGCCTTAAAAGACATGTACATCCCAAGACGGCATGGCAGTTAACCCAATTCTAGAAAAATCTGAATAGTACAGTTTATTTTTCAAAAGCAGAACCTTATCTTTTACATGTAACGTTAGAATAACACTTTCTCGATTTGTTTGTAGCTCATACGATGGTTTTAAAGACAAGACAATGATAAATTTGTACAATAACAAACTATTAAGATTGAATAAAATCAGCTAAATGATATGCTAGTAATGACCATTTAGAGAAAACCGGTAAATAAGTCAAACATTTTTACATGTAGTGTTATTTTCAACACTTATGGATGGAACAGTGATTCCATTCGCCGACGTTGTTCCATTGTGTTTTAATTAGTGGTAATATGACGCCGAAGTTGAACAGCTGCTATAAAAGATCCAGTCTTCAATAATAATAACCACTCCACCTTTTGGTGCTTCGTCAATCATGTTTGTTCTCTCGCTATGTATTTTTCGTTTGTTGCTGCATTTTGATGATTCAGACGATGAGTTACACAATAGCACCATATTCATGATGGGCAATCATAGAAGATTACTATTGTATAAAATCCATTTGCATACACCGAATATTATCTTTTCGTGAAATCACTAGAAAGTATTTGCTTTCTCACTTAAACTAATACGATACTAATTAAAATACAACATGGACGCATCACACACACACATACACATACGCACATACCACATACACACAATCTCATATAAAGATGAATATATCGCTTTATCGCCATATCGCAGTATCACTGTATCGCCATTTCGCGTAACCATTCCGCATTATCGCACTGTCGCTTTATCGCAGTATCGCTATATCGTCATATCGTTATGTTGCACTATCGCCTATTTATATCGCATCATCGCAATCGCCGTGTTGCAGTATCGCCGTTTCGTGTCGTGTTATCTTCATTTTGTGTCGTGTTATAGCCATTTCCTGTCGTGTTATCGCCATTTCCTGTCATGTTATCGCAATGTCGTGTCGAGTTATCGCAATGTCGTGTCTTGCTATCGCCATATCGTATCGTGTTATCGCTATTTCGTTTTGGGGCTGTATCGCAATATCGCTATATCGTGTCGCCATATCGCAATATCGTGTCTTACTATCGCTTTGTCGCAATATCGCCTAGATTTTTCAGGGCGATGAAGCGATGGCCCTAACGAGCCACCATAGTTTCCTGATGTAACAGGGGCGGTGGGGTAGCCTAGTGGTTAAAGCGTTGGCTCGTCACGCCGAAGACCCGGGTTCGATTCCCCACATGGGCACAATGTGTTAAGCCTATTTCTGGTGTCCCCCGCCGTGATGTTGCTGGAATATTGCTAAAAGCGGCGTAAAACTAAACTCAGTCAGTCAGTCCTGATGTAACACGAAATGCACGTGCATTCTGGCGGTATAAAACAGTCTACGCAACACGTGAGCAACACGGCAGTAACAAGAACACAAAATATATACCACGTTTGAGGCAAATCGATAGAGAGAGCTATCGGAATGTTCCAACAAGGAGCTAACCACACCGTGACTGCCAGAACCTTCGGCTGCACCCGAGCACCTGTCACCAGACTGATGCAACGACAAGCAGGCAATACGTCAGACAGGCCTAGGAGTGGTCGACCAGGTGTGACAACGCCCGGTGATGGTCGCCACATCCGGGCAACTCATCTAAGAAATCGTTTTGTAACGACGACGTCAACGGCAGCGACGGCACTAAGACACCGTATCAGGCGACATACAGTGTACCAGCGACTAAGAGAACATGGTATTCCAGCACGTCGATCATACTCTTCTGTGTCGATTGACAAGGGCCTGGAGAATTCAACGTTGGCAGATGCGTGATTGGCGACGTGCGATCATGATGTTCACTGATGAGAGCAGGTTTTGCCTGTACAGGAATGACGGCCGGGCTCGTGTTACAGACAAGTAGGTGAACGTATATCGCCGACTGTTTGGAGCCGTAGCGTGATGGTGTAGGGAGAGATCTGAACCCATCTTAAAACGAGACTTGTGATTATTCATAGCAACCTGAATGCAAGAAGATACACAGATGATGTGCGACCAGTTGTGTTACCATTTATCCAGCAACAACCACGTGACATTGTCCACCAGCACGACATCTGAAGGCCTCATACAGCAAGACTGACAAACGACTTTCGGCTAACATCGTTGTTTTGCCGTGGCCAGCATGTTCTCCCTAGATGAATCCCACAGAACACTACCGGGGACTACCTGGATTGACAAATCAGAAGCGCCACCTGTAACCGTTCAGCAACTGGAAAAGTGTCTCCTACAGGAATGGCAGCGGATCACGCCAAACGTCATTCGTCGTCTTACGTCATCAATGTGTCGACGTGTTTCGGCGTGTCCGAAAAAAAGTGAACCGGTTTTTGACAAGTATTATCTCATGGATAGATAAACCGAATTTATTAAAACTTTATAATTTGCGAGCAATCTTAGATATTTTGTAGACTTGTTGATACCCTAGGGTTACTCTATGAATATTTGTTATTAAATTTGGTTTCTCTACCTCTGAGAAAATACTTGCGAAAAACCGGTTCACTTTTTGGGGGACACCCGATATACAATGTATACGCAGTAAACCCTAACTGCAGCTTGAACTCAACAGGATTTAGAATCACAACCAACATTAAGCCCGTTAGGAATTTCTCTACATTTATTAGCAAGTATATGTCATTCAGTACAAATTAAGGCCTTTTCAAGATAATTTAGTGATTTAGAATTAGGCTGAACCAGGTACAACAGTCAGCACTGAACAATGTCTGCTGGCCACCTTACTGTCTGTCCCCGGAACTCCCTCAATGTACCCAGTCTAAAAAGCATGAGGCTCCGTTGGGCAGCGATCTGTTTCCTATAACAGTGCCATACACGATAGAGTAATACAATGTCACGTGCACCACGATACGGTGTTATAAACACCACTATAACAGTGCCAAAAACGACAGCACAATACAATTTTAAGTACACCGCTATAACGTGATATATACACCACTATAACAGTGCCAACGCGACAGCACAATACAATTTTACGTACACCGCGATACAGTGTTATATACACCACTATAACACTATAATGGTATCAAAGAATTCTCGGATTCATATTTGTTTTTGTGCAGTATACACTAATACAATTGAAAACGGTGCTATATAGGCAACGACTATACAACACAATGTCATGTAGATAACGACTAAACACGATGTATAAACCACTACAAGGGAGGTGCATACACCTTTTTGACACCATACAATGGTATGTATGCACTACAACGACAACAGCAGTTGAGGCCTTTGTCATGCTCCTTTAGTTTAAGTCTCAAATCAAATCATGTTATCCACATTTCCCCTGGCTGTTGAAGATGTGCCTGGTCGAAGACCATCCTTGAAGTTTTTCCTTCACTTACTTGAACTCCTAGTTCTTAATAGTGGCACAGGAAGGTACGTCACTTCTAGAATCACATTATTCACTTGTATAATAGTTTCAGAAAATGCACTAAGTTAATTACATGTAGTATTAAATTCTTGAAAGTAACGTTTGATTTGAATAACTGCAGATATATCAAAGGTGAAGACTAAATGTCCTTGGCCATCATCCTTCAACCAGAAACTGACCAGTCCTCATTGTGTGTACAAGATATTCTTTGAGGAAATGCGCAGGGAACCTATATATCCCTACGCTTCATTTCCAAGAATTTCATCGCATTACCGCTTTCTTAAACGGGTGTACTACGCGAGACTAAATAGTCCCTTAGAAACGTGTTTTTCTCAGCTAACTTACAAAAACTGCATAGTTTCTTAAACATTAATACCTAAGTGTTTTCTGTACTTGATTGCTTCAGCTGTGTATTAGTAATTGCAAAGAAAACCGTATTTTATCAAATTTGTGTGTGAGTAGTTCGTTTGGAGGCGAGACGTGACAGTCGCAGGCACAACACAGACGCGAGACCTGGGAACTTACATCTCGCTTTGTTTAGTCCTCACAACAAATACATTGAACGTGGTCAGTGGCTGAACAATATCTACAACTTTTTTCCCCATATGCTGCTATCAACCTTCACATTGTCTTTGACATTTATTGGAGATAGTGAAGATGCCATGTTTGTTTACATCGACAACAGAGGAAGGATGGTTAGTGACGTCCCAAGGTGTTCTTAGGTTTCACATGATTTCAAGCATACATACTGTAATCTACCATGGCTACGTGAAATGCTCGAATTTGATTGGTCAACCCATAACTTCAGGCGGTATCAATTTGGATTAAAATGCTTCTGATTTCACGGCGCTTCACTGCGCACGTATACAACCCGCCGCACTACTTCAGCTTGGCCACCAACATGATTAATATCAACATGTCACAGCTATAACGCCGAGAAAACAACGACCGCACCCTATCACCTATCTGAATTCCAGCTCCCCTAGCTTTCTGATCATAGTTTGTCTTTTGTTTTTCTTGTAACTTGATAGATATTTCTGAGGCCAGCTCATATGCTTCTTGAAGTCGCAAACGCAATGTCTTCGTGTATGATAACAGATTTTCATAACCCGGATTACTATCAATCCCGAAAACAATATCTACTGGCAATCTTGGGTGCCGACCAAACATCAACATATAAGGGGTATAGCCAGTTGTTTCGTGCTTTGTACAATTGTAGGCATGAACAAGTGGTCCCGAGTGGGTTTTCCAGTCTGCCTTTTGGTCGGACTCCAATGTTCCAAGTATATTCAACAAGGTTCTGTTAAAACGCTCACACTGCCCATTTCCCATAGGATGATACACAGTACAGTGGTACGCGATTTGTCCAGTCCCATGATTGTGCAGAGTTCTTTTATCAGTTTAATTTCAAAGTTTGCGCCTTGATCAGAATGATTTCTGGTAGGTATTCCATAATGTACTATGAACTTGTTCAACAATGCATCAGCTGTGGTCCGGGATGTCATGTTTTTGGTTGGAATGGCCTGTGCATACTTAGTAAAATGGTCTGTGATAACTAAGATATGCTGAAAATTCCCCTTCGATGGTTCCAAGGTCAAAAAGTCCATAGAGACAAGTTCCAGTGGATATGTTGTAGTGGCATTTACTAGTGGCACCCTGGTATTGGTCTTTGTCCTGTGCCCAATGCATCTGTTACAACTTCGAACCCATGATACAACATCCCTAACCATTTCAGGCCAATAGAAGCGATCACGTAGTAAGGATAAAGTCCGGTCTCGTCCGAGATGTCCTACATCATCGTGCAAACCTCTAAGAGCCTTCTCTCTGAATTCAGATGGAAGAATCAACTGACTTCTTGTCTCCTGATCTTCTTTGGTTATTCTATGAAGTACTCCTCGCTTGAACCATAGTCTACCAAACTGCCGTTGTAAGCCTGCAAATTCGATGGAAGGTAAATAATCACGAGGTGGTCTTTTCCCTTGACTGACAAATTTAATCAGAACTGCAAAGATGGGATCAGCAGCTTGTGCCTTTTTCCAATGTCTGTTAGTCATTGCATCCATTTCAACTCCGTCCTCTATCACCAAATCACTTGACATACTAAGACATTCCACAAAGTTCTGACATAATATGGAATTACAGATGGCTTTGATAGAATCCTCCTTGATCTCCTGCTATCCATCAACAGTATCTTGAGTTGCAGAACTAGGCAGAACATCTGCATCAATGTTCGCTTTTCCCGGTCGATACAAGATACTGAAGTGGTACGCCGCAAGGGATGCCAACCATCTGTGTCCAGTGGCGTCAAAAATGGCCGATGTCAAGACATATGTCAAGTGATTATTGTCTGAGTATACAGTAAATGAATGTCCATACAGATAATCATGAAATTTGTCGGTGATAGCCCATTTGAGTGCAAGAAATTCCAGCTTGTGTGCTGGATAATTCTGTTCAGATTTGTTCAATCCTCTGCTTGCATAGGCAGTCACTCTCAGTTTATCATTCTGTTTCTGATAGAGTACTGCTCCTAATGCTAGTTGACTGGCATCTGACAGGCAGTTCAAAGGGTATGGAGTAATTGGGAAATCCAAGTACTGGTGGTGAAGTTAATTTAACCTTCAATTCCTGAAAAGCATGGTCATGTTCCGGTTTCCAGATAATATCCTTTGCATTTGCTAATTTGCCCTTTGCATTCGGACTTGGCATTAGGTGAGTTAGAGGCTTGGCAATCGTTGAAATGTTTGGAACGAAACCAGCAAATCCTAAGAACTGCCGAACTTCAGTGGGAGAAGTTGGTGTTTTCCAGTTTATGATAACTTCAGTTTTGCTCGGATCTGGTTATATTCCTTCTTCAGATATGACATGTCCAACATACTATACCTTTCTCTTGAAAATGAGCACTTGTCGGGAGCTCACTTCAGACTACATTCTCTGAGCCGTTGGAAAACCCTAGTAAGTCTTTGAATGTGTTCTTCCAGCGTGCGAGAATAAAAAATCAGGTCATCAATATAAATGCAACAAATTTGAAGATGCTAGTCCCAAAGACATTCTTCCATTAAACGCTGACAAGTTGCTGGACTGTTGCATAATCAAAATGGAAGCCGGTTGTACTCATAAAACCCTAAGGGGTCCACTTTCAGACTTCCACACTTCTATACACCACACCATAGAGCGTAACAACGTCTAGACTTACATGTGTGTACAAAAACACTCAACGTCACAGTTACAAGAAAATATGGAAAACTCAAATACAAGTTACATTTCTCCCTTTTCTCAATGAAACCAATCTCAATTTACAACTGTGAATCAACTAACTGAATCACACGATTCAGTCAAGTGATTCAATCTAAAACAAGATGTGATCGTTTACATGTGACGTCATCATCTTTACTAAGGGCAATCACGAAAGTCAATGATTTTGACGCACGAAGTCAACGTGAAAAGAACACCCCCTATATCTCAAGTTGACAAATTCAAGTGTCAACAAATCAGAATAGCGGAAATGCACAAGTCGACAAAGTCAAAATATCACATGACAAAGTCAAATGCCGACAATGTAGGATAAATCAAAATCAACTCCACAAACCAAGGAGTGTCCCATCACAATGCATTACCGCTGTAGAAACAGTGGAGATAAAAGTCTATTTTGCCGATGATCAGTGTAAAGTCACATGTGAATATTAAAAGTCACATGTAAATATTAAAATCAAAGCGTTCTGAAGCTGGTGTCCATGAATAGCGCATTTGTAGATCATAATATATTATGATAACGCATAATGTGGTCATGGAATGTATTGTAGGCAGAGCTAAGTCACACTGACTGACTTAGTTTGGTTTAACGCCGCTTTTAGCAATATTCCAGCAATATCACGGCGGGGGACACCGGAAATGGGCTTCACACATTGTACCCATGTGGGGATTCGAACCCGGGTCTTCGGCGTGACGAGCCAACGCTTTAACCACTAGACTACCCCACCGCCCCGCTAAGTCACAGTGCATATCACAATGTCAATGAGGGATACGACCTTGACCCGATGATGTCCGGTGTCCAACGTCTGTACTTCGATACACGAACACTGTACGATGAGAAACACCTCTTCCGTTCCTAAGGCTGAGATCCGTTTGGGGCCTAGGTTGATCTATGAATTCCTCACTGGGGGCCCCATCTGTCACAGCTATAACACCGAGAAAACAACGACTTGCTGTAGGGTGAGAATCCGTTTATTCCTTACATCACAGGAAGAGGTAGCAGAAGAATACCCTGTAAACATTTCATTTATATGTATTAATATCACAATGTTTTGGTTTGTTGTTTTTTATCACAAGGGTATTAGCACAGACTCATTTGTAACAATTGATTAAGAGAAAAGGGAGACAACTTAAGCACATATAAATCATGCTCATATTGAGCAATATGCACATCACACTGAACGAAATTAATACATTGATAACAACTATTTTTCCTTTTTAGTTAGTTCACAAATATGTCCATACTGAGTGGGAAATAAGGCCTTATGCATATTGGTTACATTTTCCAGAGAAAAATAAATTATTTACACGTTTACATTATATTCAAAATTTGCTCACCCGTCTATAAGACGTAGCTACTCCTAGACATCTGCTCGATGCGGGCTATGGGCATAGGGTCGAATTCAAGAGTCAACACCAATCTTTCATGCAATTTTACATCTAGTTGCGTATCAGTGCCGGGCTTGTGTTATTTTGGTTACTTGAGCGTTCTTGTGTCTTTCAGTGATTTTCCGACGCTTCGTTCCCTTTTCGCAAGTTTATGGGTGACATAAGAATACTTTAAATAGTCACCCCCCCCACCCCACCCACACACACACACACACTACTATAATGGGAGAAGCCTTTGCCACTGCTGTTGGACCAGTGCCAGCGAAGTATTTTGAGCACGACCTGGTGAGGAATACCATCAAGATCTGTACCAAGTCCAGATGTACGGAAGAGAGCCTTATTCAGGTATTGTCCACTCATATAACTCACCTTACGATGAAGGTTGTAAAAGGAATAAGGACTACAGTGAATTCTTTATCACGTTTAAACACTCCCACCCAGTTGGAAGTCTTGATAGCCGTGAGTTCATTCATGGTGAAGATAATTTTACATGCTCACCTTACGACAGACAAGTGTATCAAGAGTGCACTGACTGCACGGCACTATTTCAAACCAGTACTTAATAGACTTCTTTTCTGAGTATGGCAAGGTGTTGAATGTGCACAGAGAAACTAAAGTGCAAGATGGCGAAGAGATTTTCACAGGAGTAAGGAGAGTCATTCTTCAGATGTATGAATACCATAAAGAACTCCCTTATATCGTTAAAAAGGGCCAAAAGATGTCTATGCTCGCCACTTCTTCTGGAAGGTTGCCCATCTGCTTTAGATGCAGCACTATAGGACATATTAGGAAAAATTGTCCTAAACAGTTCAATAACAATGTGTATGCTCAGGGTGTGACTATGCAGGATTTGTTGGAAGAGACAGCCCATTTGGAAAGGGATGCCCAGAAACGGAAACAAAGAGAGAGTGATATGATTGAATCTGAAAGTAACAGTGCTCCTCAGAGACGTGATACTGATGATGAGAGTATGAGTGAGATTGGAAACGAGATGGAGTCGGATATGGTTAAAGCCAGTTGCCCTGATCAGGTCGAGGCGGAGTCTCAGCAGTCACAGCATTCCCAAAGTGACTTTTCCCAAGAGGGAGATGATGCTATAAAAGCAATGGGTCCCCCTACTGCGCCTGTGAGGGGTAGACCAGCTAACCCTAAAAGGAAAGGTAAAAGACCTTCTACACAGTCACCAGGGAAGTCTCATCTTAGTCCAGGGTTAAAAGCATTGGGAGCCCTGACAGACTCCCAGAGGAGATCCCCATCAGCAGCTTCAAAGAAGCAAAAACCAGGGGAAGTAATTGAGGAAGCTCCTTCATAATTTATGTTTGATCCTGACCCTAACGAACCTTGAAATGGCCATGGACTGCGAATATCGAATAATGGACAAACCATAATCTGTCCCTCTTAAGGGAGTTTTTCATTTTTTATTGTTATATACAATTGGTTAGCATGATTTAATACACAAACAACCCATTTTACAACTCTGAATTGTAATGGTCTATTGACTGATTCCAATAAGGTAAACATTTTATCACACAAGTTTAACGCAGGCATTGACTTTCTATTTCTACAAGAAACCCATGTCTATAATATTGTAATTGCTAAATGTTTTGGGAATAAATTTAATGGCAAAGCTTATTGGTCGTTTGGAAATAATTTTAGCAGAGGGGTAGCAATAATAATAAATACTAGGGTTAATTTCACTTTGGATATTTTGTTGTGGATATAGATGGGAGATATTTAGTTATAGATGGTAATGTCAGTGGAGTAAGGATAGGATTATTAAACATATATGCGCCTAATAAGTCTTCAGGTAGGGTCGTTTTCTTTCAGGATATAGCCAAATATTTAGTAACAAATAGATTGTTACTTATGGGAGGCGATTTCAAGTCTGTAACAAATATAAGATTAGACAAAATAAGCGGCAACATAGATAATAAACAGGTGGGTTCAAATATTTTAAGACAATGGGTTTCTGACTTTTCTATTACTGATATATTCCGTTCTTTATTTCCAGATTCGGTGGTGGTGTCTTGGCGTAATGCTGCTGGTGTTGGTTCCAGACGTTTACTTTTCTACATCCCTACTGTCAGCTGTCCACACTGCGACCATCCTCCCATGCTCATTTTCTGACCACGACTACGTTCAGGTAATGCTCAAGGATTTTGAAGGCATTAATTTTGGTGCTTCTTATTGGAAATGTAACAATTCAATTCTTGATTTGGGCTTTCAACCCCTTTTGGCTGGGTTTTGTAAACAAAATATACCTCCTTTAGATCAGATAACTTTAGTGAGTGAGTGAGTGAGTTAAGATTTTTAGTCACATCGGCAATATTTCAGCCATATCGTGACTAAAGCAAGTTATAAATATATCAACAATTTAAGTGAAGTTATAAAATTCTGCCAACGAAGGACAGTAAAATAACTAGATTATCACAGATATATATGTAAAACTAGTAATTGAATCTAAAACATTTTAACTATAGGGGACAACACAATATAAAAATGGGCTATAGATCGCAAACAACTGAAGGTAGATCACCATACTAGGGACCATGAGGTAACTTTAGAATGGTGGGATAACTTCAAAATTCAAGTAAAACATTTATCAAACTCAATTCTAAAATTGCTCAAAATTCATTATTATCTCACCGAAAAGATTTGGAAAAACAGTATCGGAATATATATCATGCAGAATCTGCTAATCCTTGTCTGTACACAGATCAAATTAAGGAGACCAAAAAACAATTAAAGGATATGGAAACAGCGTAATTTAAAGGTCATTTGATTCGTTCTAAAGCAAGTGACCTTGAAAATGGGGTAAAACCTTCTAGTTATTTTTTGCGCAAGGAAGTTAAGAGAGGCAAAAAGAAATCAATATCTTCAAGTTTGGACTCTTCGGGAAACTTAATTAAGTCCTCTCAAGGCATTATGGGTGTTTTTGTTGAGTTTTATTCTAATTTGTTTTTGGCTGAACCCATTGATGAAGAAATATGCAATGACTTCCCGAGTGATCTACCATGTTTGAGTTCGGAACGTTCGGAGCTACTAGAAGGTGAAATATCCAAAGCAGAAATTCTAAATGCTCTTAAAGCAATGGATAATTACAAGTCTCCAGGTCGGACGGGCTTACCAAGGAGTTTTCCTTGTTTGCCTTTGATGCTCTGGGTGATGTCCTTCTACGTCTTGTGCGATTGTGTTTCTCTTCTGGGCAACTGCCTACTTCCTCTAAAAACTCTTATATTACTCTCATATGTAAGGATGTCAATAATGCTGAGAATGTACGTAATTGGCGCCAAATTTCCCTATTAAATGTTGATGTCAAAATTATTTCCAAAGTTTTATGCACACGTTTGGGCAACGTTATTGGTGATGTAATTCATCAAGATCAGAAATGCGCTGTTCCAGGTGGATCTATTCAGGATAATTGCCATTTACAACGTTATGTGTTGGATTATGTGGAGCAGAATAATCTCCCCTGTGCTTCAGTAAGTTTAGATCCGGAAAAGGCTTTTGATAGAGTCTCCCATGATTTTTTGTTTAAAGTATTGGACGTTTTTGGCTTTTTTCCAAATTTCCAAAAATGGGTTAATATTTTATATTCTGACATATCTGTAATTGTTTATCAACACATTTCGCGGCCATTTCCGGTTACAAGGTCCGTCAGGCACGGTTGTGGGCTATCTCCCTCCTTGTACGCTCTTTCACTGGAGCCTCTTCTTCATAAAATACGTCAAAATCAGTCAATTAATGGTGTACAGATCCCTGGTACTGATGATTCAGCAAAAATATCTGCATTTGCTGATGATGGGCTTGGATTTTGCACAACAGATGCTTCGATTCGGAAAATTTTGGACGTATACAATACGTTTGGCAGAGCATCTGGGTCAAATATGACCAAAACGAAAGGAATTTTATTGGTAAATGGAAGTCTAGATCGGACCACCCTTTCGGTATTTCTTGGATTGACCAAAAGTTGTTTGAATTAGTATTGGCAATAAGATCAATGATGATGATCAGTTTTTCCCAGTTGTACAAAAATTTCGTACTGTTTTAAAATTATGTAAAGGGCGTGTTGTTTCTGTTTTCGACAAAGCAGTACTGTGCAATACTTTAGGCCTTGCAAAAATGTGGTACCGTGGAGCAGTATCCCCAGTTTCAAATCATTATGTCTATCTTTTCCAAAGAGAGACGTTTAGGTATATTTGGCAGTCCAAGTCTGAACCTATAAGGCGCTCTGTTTTATATAAAGCTAAGCTGGAAGGGGGTCTGGATGTTATGCATATTAAATCAAAATTACAAGCCTTCCAACTGAAACATGTTCAAAAACTCCTGAAAAACTGTTCTGCCAAATGGACGTATTTTGCAAAATACTGGTTAGGTATGTCCTTACGTCGTTACTGTCCTGCCTTTCTATCTCTGTGTATCCCTCACTCAGAGACGGTACCTTTATATTATCAGCAATGTTTTTCGGCACTAAAACAGTTTGAGTACATCGTTTCTGACCCTTTGGTGGAAATTGTCAATTTTAATTTTAAACAGTTTTATAACTGTCTGCTATCAAAAGACACCGAAAACAGAATAGAAAGGTTATATCCACAAATTAATTTTAGACTTGTTTGGGAGAATCTTCATAATAAGTTTGTGGATTGTCTTCCAAAAAGAGTTAATTACCGTCTTGTCTATAATGCTCTCCCCCTGGGGTATATTCTTCATACCCGTGGTATGGCTGTCTCTCCCAACTGTGTTCTTTGTCGGTCTGCAATTGAAACTGCAGACCATCTTTTTGTATCCTGTTCATGTACTCATGTGTTGTAGATTTCGTCTTTCCATGGTTACATATTCTCTCTTCAGGCCTAATATCAAAATCCTATGAAATCATTAAATTTGGACAGTGTCCGCAAATCCCCAATCAATCAAGTTATGCTGCCTGTGTGTATTTGGTATCATTGGCAAAATATTGTATTTGGTGGGTACGAAATGTTAATAAATTCGAACACAAGCAGCTAAATGGAGACGACATTGTCTTACGTTTCTTGTCACTTCTAAAAACGCGTATAAGGGTCGACTTCTTTCGTCTATCTAGATCTTCGTTAGCTATCTTCTGGCTCTCAACTAACATGTTCTGCTCAGTAAATCAAGGTGCCTTGCAATTGTTATTGTGATAAATGTTTTAATCTATTTATACATATATGCACATTATATTAAATGTTTAAATATAGTAATAAATATAAATGCAATGTATAAATTGTACATCATATGATATGACCCCATGATTGACCCCATATGCCTAAACATATTAACCATATTCTAACATTAAATCTATTCACCATTACATAAGCACTCATGTAATTTTATCAATGTAAATATGGGCTTCGATTGTAAATATGTTGTTGTTAAATACGTAGTTGTTTGTAGTTTTCATATATTCATTATGTTGGTGTTATTACAAAATTGTAATATAATGCTGTTTTGCCTTCAGTTGTAAGTATGTTGTTGTTTGTGTTTCAAGCTCTCATAAAATATTTCTTCATTTTCCTTCTTTAGTTTCAACATATTAGTGCCACTACTCCGAACACTGTGATATCGTTTTTATATCAGGAGTAGTGGCAGAAACTGTTGTCCAAATTTGTATAATTATTGGTAACGAATAAATTTTATGAAAAAAACCCAAAAAAAACAATGAACCGATGACTAGCACACAGAAGTGAACATCATATTCTCAACAGTCACCACCGCAGCAGGCACGACACCCATCCAAGAAACATTATGTGAAAATATTTATAATAGCAATTCAATTGAGGCATAAAAACTTTACAGCCTATCACGGATTAGCACAACATATTTACATATCCAAACCGCGAACATTATTTAATATTAATAAACGTTTTCAGTCTATTTTATATGCATTACTGAGATATTATAACCTCAAACTTTAGAAGCCATTCTACAACCAGACAGGCAGAGTTTATTTGCAGTAAAAGGCCATAGGCCCAAAATACATTCAAAGGAACTTTCAGTGCAGTCAGGGGCACAATGTGCTTTCATGTGTGTTTATTATGATCCTTTTAACATAAAATAGATACAAGGCCACAGATTTTAAGGTTCCTACATTAGTATTCTTGAAAAGATTTGCTAAAGAATATACTGTATAAGGCTTTTTAACACATTTTGTAATAAACCTCTCTCTTAGGTGTGATTAGGATTCACAAATGAACAGTACATGGAATTCATCTTCAATATAGGTAAGACCTTTAGATTTGCATGATATACAAAATCTTTGATTATAATCAGTGTTGTTATAACGCCCAGTTTCTACAGCTATTGTAAAATTACTAAACCTAAATTGTGCTTAAACAGCTCTTAAATGTGTAGAAAGGTTAAATGATAAATAACATTCAACATTTAACGCTGAATTAAAATACTGATAATAGTTGCATTGGAAGAATTACTCAGGGAAGAGTACCAGGACTGTTTTAAATTATCTGATAATCTTTGTTTAAATAAGCTTATAAACATTTTTACATCACCAACATCTTGGCTCAACCAAACATATCCAAAACCAAAATTAAACAGAAGATTTTTAACTTTTGATTCCCATGTAGTTCTACCACTATCATCTAAAGACTTAAGCATAAGGTAGCTTTGAAAAGGTAATCTGTCATGAGGAAGTTGTAACAGTCTACACCAATATTTGATTACACGGGTCATATAATTAAGCTACAGGGGGCAATCTGCCACATTCACCCAGGGCCATGGAATTACAAGATGACCTATTTATTTTCAGATACTTTTTACAAAAATCAAGCTGTACCGATTCAATACTTTTACAGTAGGAAGTTCCCCATATTTCTGACCCATAGCATAATATTGGTGTGATCAGTGCATCAAAAATTTTGAATAGATCTATACAGTTAATGTTTCCGAATTTCCTTTGAAAGTGATTAACTGATAAAATTGCCTTTCTAGTTTGAGAAGCTAAACATAATTGTGCCCTGGACCAAACGAGTTTTGGTGTAAATATGATGCCAAGATATTTATAAAAAGATACTGTTTCTATTTGTTCCCCATTAAAATACCACTTTTCATAAGATCTAAGAGGCCCACCATTTCTGATAACAACCACTTTTGTTTTCTTAAGGTTTACTTTCATTCCTGTTTCCTCGCAAAATAATTCAAGGGCATTTATCTTTTTCTGCAGTTGAATACAAGTGTCCGAAAGAGCCGAAACATCATCAGCAAACATAAGGGCATACACATTATTGAAAACAGCAGTGACAAATATTCCCTTACCACCTTCATTTTGCATAATTGCGCATAAATGATTAATAAATATTATAAATATCTGAGGGCTTAAAATGCATCCCTGTCGGATACCCACATTACAAGAAAATTGTTTAGAAAGTCCCTCAGGGGTTCTAACGCAGGCACAGAGTGAATTATACATACATGTGATAATATCTAAGAACTTCCCATCTAATCCAACCTTATGAAGAGAATCTATAAGTATATCATGTTTAAGAGTATCGAACGCTTTTGAAAAATCGATAAAAAGACAATAAAATCTGCCCTGGTGTTTACATGAATATTTCTGTATGACAGCCTGAAGTGTAAAAATGTGGTCTGTTGTAGAATAGTTTTCCCTAAAGCCAGCCTGATATTCACAAATGATATTATTTAAATCACACCAGATTTTTAATGTTTTATTTAGAATGGATGTAAATAATTTACAGAGGGAATCAATGAGGGATATACCACGGTAATTATTGGGGTCGTTCTTGTCGCCAGATGTCAACAAAGGGCAAATAATGCTCTTACACCAACTGGGATGGAAATAGCCAGAGTCATAAATTTTGTTAAAAAGAACAGTGAGAGTAGAGACAATGAAACATCTCGACTCCTTTAGAAATTCATTAGCAATTCCGTCTGGACCAGGGGCTTTACTGACTCGCAAAATGGTTGGTTCAAAAAAGAATCAGTGTTGCTTGTAGATTGTAAAGGTGAAGGTAAATGTTCTGGTGTGGTTTGCAAAGTATTAATGCTTAACAGATTTAAGAAATGATCTGTCCACTGTTGGCATGTGACATTGGATGAAAGTTGTGGTGATGATCTGTAATTTTTAAGTGTTTTCCAATATCATTTAGGGTTGGTGCTTGCTGCTACTAGTTTATCTTTCTGTGTATTTTGGAAATTTAATCTTTTTTGCTTGAATATACATTTGAAGAGTGTTCGTAACTGTCTGAAGATATTAAAGTCTGCATTGTGATCTCTATGGGCTCTGAGTGCTGCATATTTGTCATGCTTTAAGTTTTCTAAGTCCTGATCCCACCAAGGTGGTTGAGTTTTGTTTGTTTCGTTTTGTTTTTACAAAATACAGAATAATATGGCACCATCGTACCTTATTGATCTTGTTCCTGTGGACGTAGCATCTAAATGTAGCTATAATCTTCGCAACTCTGATGATGTCTCACTTCCTTTCTCGCGATTAAAATTTTCGTATGATTCTTATTTTTCATCCACAATTAGAATGTGGAATGAACTTCCAGTTGAAGTGAGAAAAAGCGAGTCTTTGAATTCTTTTATATCGAATATTGTTATAAAACATAAAACTGCTCCTCAATACTTTGATTCTAGACCGAGAATCACTAACATCATCCTTACAAAACTACGTTACATGTGTAGTCAGTTGAATTATGATCTATTCCGTGCTGGTTTAAGAGATAACCCAAGTTGTTCGTGTGGAAATGTTTGTGAAAATTCTTATCATTACCTGTTTGACTGTCAATTATATACAGTACAGAGAACTACCATGATGACTAAATTACGCAGTATTACAAATGTGGATATGACCTATGAGTTACTATTACATGGCAATGCAGATCTGACTGTTCACATAAACCAAAACATATTTAAAATTGTTCAAACATATATTTGTCATTCAAAACGATTTTCTTAATTGTTGCAATTGTTCCTCTTTTTCCATATTTCTGTTCTGTTCTTCTCTGTCCATCTTGTAGAATGAATGTAAATAATACTATGTAAATACTACGGAGAGGGTGTTCTAAGTTGTATAACTTGTACCCAATCCTTTTCTCATGAATAAAATATGTTTAAAACAAACCGAAAGTTTGTAATGAATGCACTGTTTTCATCCTTGCACCACATATATTTTGTCCATATATCCTGTTTACCCTCTTGTACATTACTGTTTGAGGTAAGCGTATTAGAATAAGCAGTGGAGGGGAGTTTACTGTTAAGTGTGTTGATATTGAGTGTGCATGACAGTGGAAAGTGACATGGGTTATCTAGTGTGCTGACATTAAACTGCGTGATGAAAGGGAATAGTGACGAAGAAGTTAGCATGTAATCAACTACACTGCAACCGTTATAAGTAAAGCATGTGAATTGACCACATAAATCATTTGCTAATCTACCATTTAAGGCATGAATGCCAAAAGTGCAACATAATTCAGCAAGTTTTCCCCATAATTATTATAAACCTGACCTCTAGAAGATCGAGGCATATCAAATGTATCTTTGGGATAATCATCATTTTCATATACACAGTCAACATTATCATCTGGGATATAATCGAAGAAGTCTATCATTCTAGCATTCAGGTCCCCCCCCCCCCTCCTAAAAACAGATGTTTGCCAGGGTGATCTGCAGTGATTGTGCACAAATAATCTTCAAGTACTGACATGCCATCAGTGTCACTACCCTTATATATGGGAGAGTTTTCTGGCGACAAATATGGGAATATCAAAATAGTGTCCATTTCCCATCAATAACTAGTTGTGTAGAACAGAAGTACATCACAATTTTCGAAATTAGTGTAGCTACGGCTAATGAGACCACTGGAAAATAAGTGGTCCGTAATCAAAACAGTAATGCTGCCGCTATATCGGCCAAGCCGATGCAGTTTTTCACGCACACAGTTTATTGAGAAAATCGCTGAACTCATTGGCTTTGCGTACGAACGACTCACAAAAACTAATAATGTCGAACTTGGCACAATATTCTTTAATGGGAGATAACGGATTGTCTTGTTTATGCAAACCTTCAATGTTCCACACAAGAATAGTTATTCCATGTTTGTTTACATCAGGGCCTTGGCCACTTCCTCATTTGTTCGGATTGAGCGCGGCCTCCCTTGCCGTTGATCTGTTTCCGGGGATGTGTCGATAAGCTGATGGCGTAAACAAAGATCCATGTGGTGTAGCTGAAGCTGCGTCGGTGTATGAAGAGGGTTGGCTGGTAGGTGAATGAGGGAAGGAGGAAGTTGTACCTGCAACCTGAACAATGCCTTTCTTGCTTCTATCGTACACAAAAGAAGCTCCGTCAACGATAAGTTTGTTGTGTCGGATTATCACCCTCCGGTTTTCGTCTCGAGCTTGGACAAACCAGGGTGAAAGTGCACGTCTTTCTTCTCGGACTTTTTGAGTGAAGTCATCTGTGACACGGACGTACTTACCGCTCAATTCTTTCTTGGATTTCATGTAGACAGCACTTTTATCGGATGTTCTCATGAAGTTTGCTATTATTGGTGAAGTAGTTTTAGGAGGATTCAGACGGTGAGCTCTTACTACCATTCTACAACCAAGTATAACTAACCTAGTGCCTCCTCTGACTCGACCTCACATTATCAGCTCTCAGAATGCAATGAAAATCACAAGACACCACGAAGTATGATCATGTTGAAGCAGACGATCCAATCAACCAATCAAAATCATCCGTGTTATAACAACGATTCCCATAAACATAAATGCACGTGAAATGCATATTCAGTAACCTGGCCTACACAGGACAAGCACAAATAATACTTTTGGCCACAAAACTGTATAACACCACCAAGAAATGTTTTTATATTATTTTTTTATTGACATTTTAAATAAAACAAAATATATAATACAAAGTGAAATGTCACTGCTACAAAGACAACAGACATGATGGAAATGCTGATGAAACATTTATTTAAACTCGAAAAATACAATTACAAATACAATTGTATACGATTTCTCCTCCACAATTATTTGGGAACCTCACTATCATAATTATTACCTTCTACCATAACAATATTCAAACTCAATTACAATACACAGCCCCACACATAAACAAACAATATCTAACACATAAATCAGAAAACCTTGTAAAAATACATCCCTATCTATGCGGCAAAACGTTCGTGAACATTTACCTACCTGGGAAATGGTATATTTGTTTCCGTTTACAATTGCAAATGTGCAAGATAACTGTAGCAGGATATGGTGTCAATTGAGACATATCAGATTTTATTGTTATCAGGAGAAGGTGTTTTATGTAATTATAAAATTATGCAAATAAAAGGTATAAACTGCTAAGCTCCAAAAATATGTTTAAAGCTTTCATTGGTGAAGGGTTATTTAATAAACATTGTGGTTGTTTAAAAATCAGATTTACAAAACTGATAAAAGGTTTGGTTGAGGGTTTGTTAGTAAAATTCTATATGGTTGAGGTGCATCTGAATTATGCCCCTTTATGGAATATTTACATCACTAAGGAAGTGAGGTGGTTCATTCTGGCCTCAATTTCATATTGTGTGTAATGTGACGAGAGAATAAGTCTCTGCTTGGGTACAAGTTTTTTTAAGCATATTAAATACCCAGAGTGTCCAAGCACATGGCACTTAGTATTCAGCATTGCACAGCACAGCAGCAGCAGCAGCAGCAGCAGCAGCAGCAGCAGCAGCAGC